CCACCGCAGCCTCAACCTGCTGGGCTCAGGAAATCCTTCCGCCTCAGCTTTCCAAGTACCTGGAACTCCAGGCGTGCACCACCACACCCGGCTAATTTTTTTTAAAAATAGAGATGAGGTCTTGCCAGGTTGCCCAGGCTGGTCTTGAACCCCTGGGCTCAGACAGTCCTCACTCCTCCGCCTCCCAAAGTGCTGAGATTCATGCCCAACCTGATTCTGTGGCTTTATGGGGGACTTTCAAGGCCTCAAACAATCCAGGTCCACTCCCACTGCTCACTCCTCCCCAATTTGGAAAACTACCACTGGGCGTTAAGCACTGAAAAGATCAAATAGCCCCCTGTAGAACACATTTTAACACCCCTTTTTTGGATTTGTCAGTCATGCAGCCTTACCCATAGGGAATCAAAAGGCAGAGTAAACGGTAACCTGACTGTCTTGCAGATAAGGAGGGGGCCACGCTTCCCGACAGTCCCGGGACCTCGCACGTTGCAGCGGAGACCTCTCCCCGGGTCCGAAGAGCCACAACTTCCAGGACAGAGAGGATATGGCCAGGAGGGGTCATCCCCTACATCATTGGAGGGAACTTCACCGGTCAGTAGCCCCAGACGAGGTCTGCTTTGGGGCTGGGTGCTTTGTCCCCCTGCGCTGAGAGAATCCTCCCAGCAAGGACTCAGAGGGGACCGAGGCTCCCTCCTCCCTCCAAGGACCGTCCACCAAACCTGGGGAAACCGTTAGGGCTACGTCCCCAGAGTTGGTCACCGTATTTCCGAGGCTTCATGCAGGGGGTGACCTACAGCCCTCATCTTGAAGCATGGACGAGGTTTGCACGATGGATATGTGGGCACAAGCCCTCCTGGCAGAAGGAGGCGGGTAAGCAGCTGCATGGTGGCTTGCTGTCTGTCCTCTGCCCGGATGAGTGCCCTGGACATGGGGTCCCCTGACACCATGCCCCAAACAGTGCTCCAGCTGGTGACGAGAGTGACCAGTAGCCTGGTCGGACTTCCTGGGTCCAAATCCTGGCCCCAACACCAACAACAGTTACTTAACCTCTCTGTGCCTGGGTTTCCTCTTCTGTAAATGGGGACCATACTGTTTTTCAGCTCATCGGGTTCTTCTGGGAATTCAGTGAGTTACCATAGATAAAGCACTTAGAATAGTGCCCAGCACATAGTACCGTAAGTCCCCTCCATACGAACCTTCAGGTTGCAAACTTTCAAAGATGTGAATGTGCGTTTGTCTGTCCAATCGCGTAAGTTAATTCACGAGTCTGGCATCCATTGTCACGTGCATGCATCCTCTACAAGTAATTGTGCTTTTCTGTACTTTACAGAGTACAGTCATACCGTATCTTTATTTCAAGCCCAGAATGCCCAGAAGCAAGCATAAAAGCAGTAGTGATGTAGCTGGTATTGCATAGCTCGTTGTATTAGCTGGGTGCCTAGGCTAAACTCATTGGACTTTGGAACAAATTGGACTTACAGACATACTCTCAGAATGGAACTGATTCGTATGTAGGGAACTTACCGTGATTAGTAATTATCTGCTTTAGAATTATTATCTTTACAATATGTAAATCACCCCGTGGCTTCCCACTGCCACTGAAACGAAACTGAGACTCCTGACTGTGGCCTCTGAGGTCCTCCCCAAGCTCCCTGGCCCCCTCTCCTGCCTGGTCTTTGACCCTCTCTCTCCCTCCCCTCTCCTTTGTCCCCATGCCCTGGCCTCCCCAGCCGTTCTTCTGTTCCAGAACATGTGACAGCCCCTTGACCGAGTGGTCACGCTCTTGCCCTTCTGTCTGCCCGGAAGGTTCTTTCCCTAGAACTTTGCATGACTGGCTTCTCATTCGAGCCTCTCGTTGAGGGACATATCACAGAACAGCCTTCTCTGACTCTCTGCTCACCTCCGCCAGCTTCTCTAGTCCCAGACCCTGCTGTATAAACTTGCCAGCACTTAGCATGGTCCAAAATGACTTTCCTTGTATTCCTGTTTTATTTCTTATCTCTGCCCAGCTCTGCATCTGCAGGACTTTTTTTCGGTTTTGTTTTCCCTCCCTTATTTCCAGCATCTAGAACAAGGCCTGGCAGGCACTAGGTACGCGACAGATATGCCCACCCCAGACCCGCGGATAGTGTCCGTGGAAAGGCCACACCAGTGACTCTTCCAGGCTCCCGATGCCACTCGTAGGTCGGTTCCCTCCCTGTGGCTTCTACTCTAAGAGGCGGTTGCTGAAGGCCGTTGCCCAAGGATTTGCCACTAGAAAACCCTGATGAGGAAGTTAGTCAAGAAACTGTAGGTCCTGGCTGGCCCATGGGAACCTGGGGGCCAGCCCGGAGCACCCCAGGCCACCCATCCCCTCTCCCCTGGCTGCATTTCTGCAGTTCTTTTTCATTCTGCAGCTTAGTCCATAACCCACAGCTTCCTAATGCCAGAGCCTGATTTGGGACTGGGGTAAACAGACGACTGAGCTGTCCCCCAGGGAGCTCTGTTCTCTTAGCAGGGGAAGCTGTGCGCCTACAGAATTGAAATGCTGGAATTTTACACCGCTGTAAATGTTCTTTGGTCTCTTAGCTCTGTTGTTTCAGATCTGGTATGCTTTTTCTGACTGGAGATTTATGTTACCTTCTACAAAGCGCACTCATTTCATAGATTTTGTTGACGCGAGGATTGTACGTTATTCTGTGATTAGGAGGATTGCTACTATGGTGCATGAACTGTAAACAATTTGAACCCAAAGTGTCAACAGGTTAAAAAAAAGAAAAATGGATAGCTAAGTTATTCTTTATTTTATATGTGTGTTTTGGGGGACAGCGATACGACACCATGCCCACATCTTCTAGACTAGGAGAAGAACGTCATCTAGGGCTGTGTTTTTTGGCTTTGTTTTTATTTTTGTTTTTGTTTTGCAGAGAATGTACTCGGAATTCAGACCCCTGACTCCCACTATCCTTTGTTCTTCACAAAGAACTATTTTTTTCCTAGAGCCCTCTCATTGCTTCTGGCAAAATTAAAATAGTCTCTTTGCTATCAGATTGATAGATTTTGAAAAGAACTTACTGACAATGCATCACTACCGGTCTGGAGTTTTATTATTCAACAAATATCCAGTCAAGGCACTATGAAGATGGGCTCAGAGAAAATAGGACATTCACCTGTTTTCTAAGGCCTTGTAGAAAATTAGGCTTAAGGGTCCCCAGGCGACACCGAGACCCCATGCAGGATATGCAGATGTACATGCCAGTGGATTTTTAGGGCACGTGGGGGCACCCTCCTGCAGGTCTAGAAGGAGACGAGAGGGGAGATTCAGGGCTGGTGAGCTGGCCCTCCACTACTTCAAAACCCTACAGTTTCCAAATCGAATAACCTGGGTGAGGTTTTTTGAAAGTCTAGAAAATACTTTCAGTATAAAGGAAGAGTTAAGACTACCAGGGCATTTTGAAAATTTATTTTTATTCTCCTTCCAATCCACCAACTCCTTTCTAGATCTTGACAATTCAGGAAAATCGTACTGTATTTTTAGCAAGGGAAATCCTTGTTCCTGGTGCATTTCTATTCCGGGTCACCAGAACAAGCTTTTTAAAAATTTTTTTTTTTTTTGAGTCGGGGTCTCTTTTGCCCAGGCTAGAGCACAGTGGTGTGATCACCATCCTGGTTCACGGCAGTCTCAACCTCCTGGGCCCAGATGATCCTTCCACCTCAGCCTCCTGAGTAGCTGGGACTACAGGTGCACACCACCACACCCAGCTCATTGTTTGTGTTTTTTGTTTTGTTTTGTTTTGTAGGGACGAGGTTTTGCTATGTTGCACCCAGGCTGGTCTCAAACTCATGAACTCAAGCAATCTTCCTGCCTCGGTCTCAGGGTACTGGGATTACAGATGTGAGACATCATGCCCAGCCTAAACATTTTAAAAAAATATTTAATTAACAAGTAAAATGTATAAATATTCAAGGTGTACAGTGTGATGGTTTGCTATGTAACAATCACCACAATCACATTATAACACATCCATCACCATTTTGTGTGTGTGTGGGTGATGGAGGGTGTGGTGAGAACACTAAATCTGCTCTGTAATTAAATTTCAAGTAAACAATGCCATATTCTAAACAAACTTTTTCTGATCGTTGGAATAAGCTTCATCTCAAGCCAACATGACTTAAAGCATCTGAGGGAAGTGATCTGACCCATCACTGCAGTGACGAGCCCCTGCCCTGTTGTTTCAGGAAGCCAGAGGGCCATTTTCAAGCAGGCCATGAGACATTGGGAGAAGCACACCTGCGTGACCTTCATCGAAAGGACTGATGAGGAGAGCTTTATTGTGTTTAGCTACAGAACCTGTGGGTAAGGAAGCAAAAAGCCATGGCCGCCTGGGCAGAGTCAGATGGTTCGTGAGTCTTGACTTTGCTCTGTAAACCCAAGTATTTCCAATGAGCTGTTGTTGATAGGAGTCCAGGGTTTGCTAGAAACTCCTGGCCCTCAGTGAAATCACAATCCTATAGAAGACTCCAGGAAGACCAGGAGTCCCGTCACGAGGAGGGCAGACGAAGGAACTGGTGGCGTGTCACATGGAGAAAGAGTTATGGCGGGGGTTCTTTTTTTTGGGGGGGAGTCAGAGTCTCACTCTGTCATCCAAGCTATAGTGCAGTGGCACACTCACAGCCATTGCAGCCTCGACCTGCTGAGCTCAGGTGATCCTTCCACCTCCGCCTTCCAAGGAGCTGGAAACACAGGCATGTGCCAGGACGCCTGGCTAATTTTTTGATTTATTGTAGAGACGAGGTCTCGCCTTGTTGCTCAGGCTGGTCTCGAACTCCTGAACTCAGGCAATCCTCTTGCCTCTGCCTCCCAAAGTGCTGGGATTACAGGCATGAGTCACCATGCCCGGCTAAGGCAATGGTTCTTAACCTCTTGGGGTCAGTGAAATTGTTGAGAATCTGATGAAGCTGTGGGCTTTTTTCCCTCAAAAATGGATGTGTGTGTGTGTGTGTGTGTGTGTGTGTGTGTGTGTGTATACACACACAAAATTTTGTGTGTAATTTTAGGGACTCCATGGGCTTACAGACTTCCTGTAGAAAACATGACATATAGGCCAGGCTCGGTGGCTCAGCCTATAATCCCAGCACTTTGGGAGGCCAAGGTGAGTGGATTGCCTGAGCCCACGGGTTGGAGACCCATCCAGGCAACTTGGGGAGACCTTGTCTCTACAGTAAATAAAAAATCAGCTGGGGGCGGTAGTGTGCGCCTGTAGTTCCAGCTACTTGGAAGGCTGAGGCAGGAGGATTGTCTGAGCCCAGCATGTCGAGGCTGCGGTGGCCGGGAACGTGCCACTGTACTCTAGTCTGGGTGACAGAGTGAGACTCCAACTCAAAAAACAAAAAAAGAAAGAAAACATAACATATAATAAAATGACTGGTTTAGGACTAAAGTGATCTGTTATGCCAGTAAAGCTAAGTGTGATATACTGTCCTACTGAAAGAAAAACGTGTTCACGTCAAAAACCCAAATCCGGCTGAGCTCGGTGGCTCAGGCTGTAATCCCGCGCCTTGGGAGGCCGAGGTGAGTGAATTGCCTGAGCCCGCGGTTCGAGACCCGCCTGGGCAATTGGCAAGACCTCATCTTTACAATAAATCAAAAAAATTAGCGAGGCATGGTAGCGCGTGCCTGTAGTTCCAGCCACTTGGAAGGCTGAGGCGGAAGGATCGCCGGAGCCCAACAGGTCGAGGCTGCGGTGGCCGGGAGCGGCCACTGCACTCCAGTCTGGGTGACAGAGTGAGACTCCAACTCAAAAACAAAAAAACAAAAAAACCCAAACCCGACTACATGCTCTGTACATAAAATGACTACCAAAGAAAATGACCTAAGGAAGTTTAAAATTAAAAAGAAGGAACCCAGACAGGCAGATGCTAACAAGAAAACCGGGATCACAATTTGAGTTACTGACCAAGTTTTGGTAGTTTTGTTGTTTTTGCTTTTAAAGTCAGAAAGTGTTTATTAAAAAAAAAAAAAAAAAGGTGAGTCACTTTATAACGAGAAAGGATATGAGCTACGGTCAGAATATAGCTGTCGTAAATCTTCATGCACCAAATAGCATAACATTCAGAGTCATAAAATAAGCCCGAGGGAACTCAAGGGGAAATTGACAGAAACACCCAGTAGCAACTAGTCCTATTTCATTCCTGTCAGCCCAAGTAAATCAGTGTCAGGTTGACAAAAAAATAAGTAGAGATTCATCGAGGATTTGAAAAATATAATTAAGAGTTAATTATATAGGTCTATCAGATTTGGTAAACTGATAACACATTTTTTAAATGCTTGTTGAAGTATTATAAACCCTGGCCGTGTATTAAGTACTAAGAACATCTTAGTAGTTCTAAAAGGTCGAAATAGCATTAAAATATTCTCTGATTGCAAAGGAATGAGACCGGACATCATAACATAAGAACAAAAATAGAAAAAAAAAATTACCTGATAAGTTAAAAGCTCCCTCACTCCTTTTTGTAGCTCTTAAACCATAAAGATGAAAATCACAGAATGGTCTAGATTATGAAAGTTCAGAATAAAAGAGATATGGCTAAGGCTATGTCCTGGTGAAAACCCGCAGCCTTGAATATCCACATTACCCACCAACAGCACCAGTGACTATGAAATATTCAATTCAAAGACGTTAGCAAAAAATAAATAATTAAAATCCACCACCAGCCGGGTGCTCAATAACAAAGCAGACACAAAAACAAAAAACAAACAAACAACAAAACCCACACCATCACAATGGACAAAGACTAACGAAAGCACAAGAATACACACAAGGTGAAACATCACAGGGCTAATAAATGTAAGAGTAGATTATTTGAATAAATAAACCAAAACAGATAGATAAAACACGTTTTAGTTGAACTGAGACAAAAAAGCAAACAAACAAAAAACAATGACCACGCAGAAATACACAACCAAAGAAATGAAAATGAGAAAAATAGCCACAGATTCAGTTGAGTTGTAAAGGAGTAATTTGTAAAATGCTAGGCCAAGAAATGTGGAAATGTGGATAACATGACTCAGAAGTCCTGACACAGACCAATAACTTGGAAGGAAATTGAAAAACGAAGGGAAAATGTTATCTTCCCCAAAGCACCAAAGCCAGAGTTTCACAGGCGAGTTGTTTTAAACCTTCAAGAAACAGATTACTCGGATACTATTTAAACTTTTTAGAGCATAGAGAAGGAGGAACACTTCCAAATTACTTTTTTTTTTTGAGTCAGAGTCTCACTCTGTCACCCAGGCTGGAATGCAGTGGCACGTTCACAGCCACCACAGCCTCGACCTGCTGGGCTCAGGTGATCCTTCTGCCTTAGCCTTGCAAGTAGCTGGAACCATGCCTAGCTAATTTGTTGATTTATTATAGAGACAAGGTCTCACCAAGTTGCCCAGACTGGTCTCAAACCCCTGGACTCAAGCAATCCTCTTGCCTCTGCCTCCCAAAGTGCTGGGATTACATACACCACATTGCTTTTAAGGAACTTTCGTGGTATTGCTACCTTGATGTGACTAAGATGGCACACACACACACAAAAGAATAAAAAAGAAAATTATAGACTCATCTCACATGTGAATAGCCATGCAAAATCCTAAATAAAATATTAGCACACAGAATTCAGCAGAAGAAGCAAAGAAGAGTAGGTGGCCAAGATTATCTAAGGAATACAAGACTAATATCAGGTTGAGAATGTATTCCCTTAACTGATTGGTCCAAGAAGAGAAGCCGTATTCACACCTCAGTAGATGCTAAAAGGCATCTACCCAATTCAACATACATTTTTTTTTGTTTAAAAAAAGTAGTCAAGGTAGCACAGTAATAGATGTCAAGGATAGATCCTTGGAATAATTTTTTTTTTTTTTTCTGAGTTGGAGTCTCACTCTGTCACCCAGACTGGAGTGCAGTGGCTGCTCCCAGCCACCGCAGCCTCGACCCGCTGGGCTCCGGCGATCCTTCCGCCTCAACCTTCCGAGTAGCCGGAATTACAGGCATGTGCTACCACGCCCGGCTGATTTTTTGACTTATTGTAGAGATGAGGTCTCACTGCCCAGGCGGGTCTCGAACCCGCGGGCTCAGGCAATCCACTCACCAAAGGCGCGGGATTACAGGCTGAGCCACCGAGCCCGGCGGAATAATATTTTATATATATAGTTTTCAACCAAAAGCCAACATCAGGTTTATCAATAATACTCCTAGAAGCATTTCTGTTAGAACGCGCTAAGACTCCAAGAAACCTAAAAAAGAAAAAGTAAAAATAGAAATGCATACCATTTCCTGGTGTAGGAATACTCAACATAGTAAAGATGTCAGAACTCCCGAAAATAATCTGTAAATCCATGTCATTCTTATTTAAACACCATGATATGTGTGTGTGTGTGTGTGTGTGTATATATATATATATATATATATATATGCACATATGTATGTACATATTTAGAACTTGAACAAATGATATTGGAGTTTATCTGATGGGACAACCATGTAGGAATAATGAGAGAAAGGGAGAAAGGGAAACAGAGAGGGAAGGGAGAGCACGCGAGAAACAGTAAGGCCATAGATAGAGATTGAATGAGTCTCATGGTCTGTTCAAACACACAGAATATTAAAATGCAAAATGAAGATAAAACAGTTTGGAACGTTACGGAAAAATAGATATATGGAAAAGGTTCAAAGTGAATATACCTCTACACAGCTTTTAAGTCTTTTTTTAAGTGAGCAAGGGAAAAATGGAGTCACCCGTTGGGATAATTGAATATTGGTTCATTAGATAGCTCACTGTGAAAAAATAAAGCTGGATTTCTACTTCTTTTTTTTTTTTTTTTTTGAGTCAGAGTCTCACTCTGTCGGCCACTGCAGCCTCCACCTGCTGGGCTCAGGCGATCCTTCCACCTCAGCCTTCCAAGTAGCTGGAACCACAGGCGTTTGCTACCATGCCCCACGTATTTTTATTTTTATTTTTTTTGATTTGTTGTAGAGACGAGGTCTCACCAAGTAGCCCAGGCTGGTTTCGAACCCCTGAGCTTAGGCAATCCTCTCACCTCAGCCTCCCAAATGCTGGGATTCCAGGCTTGAGTGGAGGCACCCGGCCTTCCACTTCTTACACCAAAAACTAGGGGATCAAAGATGTAAACACTAAAAAAAAAGAAAAGGAGAAATCTGAAAAAAGTGTCTGAAGGAAACAAAGGTAGATTTATTTATAATCTTGAAGTATGAATATTTCTTTAACATCTTAGAAACATGCCTTTCTAAGAAACATACTTTCTAAGTAAATGAGGACATTTTATAACATTAACATTTAAAACTTGTTTGTGGCAGAAAGAAAAAAGTAATACATAGACAAAAAACAGAGTCAAAAGAGAAGTAACAAGGCAAGAAAAATACTTACAACACTTTGACAATCTTCTGTAATATGGTCATGCTTTTTTTTTTTTTTTTTTTTT